CCTACAGTTGTCAACAAAATGGCTGCAATAGAAAGAAAATTAGAGACCACACAAAGGAAAGAGAACCTAGTACATTGCTGAGATGTGCGTTATCACAGACATCACAGTAAACATTCAGGAAACTCTTCCCAAAAATTCTAACACTGACTTATGATACTTCCGAAACTTTATTTAGCAAACAAAAGCATTTTTATCTCAAGGAAATATCTACATTACCAAATTTATTGTGCTATTGTTCACAACAACAAAGATACAAAAACAACCAAAATGCCTATAGATATATGAATGCATATTTTCTAACAATATTTTTATTGACTGTGAATTTCATATAATGTATTTTAATCATATTTAAATCTAATTCCCCATCCCTCCTCAGATCCATCACCTCCTAAGCTCCCTCTCTTCATGCCCTCTATTAATTTTTTTAAGGTTTATGGAGTCTAATTAGTGTTCTCCAAATGCTTTTGTGTGTGAATCCACCCCTGCAGTCTGGTCATCCTACCTGGCATCACATTCTTAAAGAAAAGTGACGCTCCCTCTCCTGGTAACTATCTATTGCCAAAAGTTCCTCAGCTAGTGCAGGGGTCTCTTGCTCACCTCCTGGCTCCACAGCGGGTTTTGCTATGACTTGGGTTTGTATGAGTGATGTGTGTGCTGTCACATGTGTAACTGCCCTGTTGTGTCCAGAAAACACAGTTTTCTCTTATTTATTTACCATCTCTGGCTTTTAAATTTTTCTTCCCCTTATTCTAGAGTGAACACTGAACCTCAGGAGGAGAAGGTATGAAACACTTGACCCATTTAAGGCATAGCACTCTGAAGCCTCTCATTCTCTACATGTTGACAAGTTGTCCATCTCTATTAATTGCCATCTTGTGTAGGACAAAGCTTCTGTGGTGAGAGTTGAGAAGTACATTAAAGGAAATGTGTCCTTCCCTCTCCATCTTCCTCAGTCCACTTATTCCCACACAACCACACGTGTAAAACCAAGCAAACACCAATATTTAAAAATACATCCCAAATTCATGGAGATTGCTTAATAAAATTATAAGAATTTAGTATTTTCAATGAACTAGTTTATTTGAAAGTTTTTGTCTTTACATGAAATATGAGAACATGGCTGGACCATATTTTACAGAGCACTGTAAAGATAGTGTAAAATTTTGTGTAAGTTACCACAAATTCTAATTGACAGTGAGGATCTAAGAAGGGCATGCTACATTATTTATTATTTATTTTAGTATAAATTAGAATTTTGAAGAAATTTAAGAATGCCTAACACGATAAAAGTTCTAGGCACATTTAGCAAGTCTGTATGATAAAGCCAACAGGTTGAGTAGCTGGAGAAATTCCTCAGTAGAAGCCATAGGACCAGTACCTTCTACAGCCCAGTGGGCGGCAGCACCTGTAGCCATAGCCACCATAGAGACCACAGCCACCATAGCCACCATAGCTACCATAGTCACCATAGCCACAGCCATAGCCACAGCCTAGGCCACCATAGCCATAGCCCAGGCCTCCATAGTAGCTGCCATAGTAACACATGTTGTCAGAAATGGACTGTTCAGTTGAGGACCAGCAGTAGGTTCCTGAATCTGGATGTCTCCATCCGCCAAGGGCCTTTTATACACCTGTGTGGCTATCAGGGAAACCACAGGCATTGCAGCATCTCACATCTCACCTCTGTGCTTCAGAAAACATCACGGGTGCCAATTTAGTGGACAAACAAGGCCGGCATATCTGAGATAATTGTGCTCCTGTGTCAGGATGCTGTGGTCAAATCATTGGGTGTTTCCCATGAAATTCTGGTTCTATGTACAAGAGTCTGCCACATTCTACATGTGTTTTATTGAGTACATATGACCTAATTCTGTGGTAAAACTAAAATCATAGCATGGTTTTCTCCTTAGATGTTTGTTTTCAGCACTCCACAGGCAAACGATCTTGGTGTGTTCTTTTGCTTGTTTTGTTGTTGTAGAATAAACATCATCTGCATTTTCTCGTATTGAACCAAATGCCTGACAATTGCAACGTAAGGAAGGAACAGGGTACTTTGCTCACAGTCCTGGCTACACTCCACTGTGGGGGAAGTCGTAGCTGCAGAAGCATGAAGCACTTGACCACATTTTATCCAAAGTCAGAAGCAGAGAGAGAATACTCGGCTTGTTTCTCCTTTTCTTCAGTCTGGAACCACGGGCTCTGACATGGTGTCACCCACATTTTGGGTAGCTCTTCCAACCTCTGTTTACAAAATCTATAAAATCCCTTACAGAAATACCCACAAATGTGTTTCCATGCTGATTCTAAGTTCTAGCCTGTTGGCAATGCAGATAAACCATCACAGGGATGGAGGGTGATGATGAGTGTAATAAGAACAAAGTAAGTAAAATCACACCGAGGCATGACTTTTTCATAATGAATCCCATTACTTTGAATAATAACTTAAAAACATAAATTAATTAAATAAAAATTATAAATCTCATTTAGAGGCATATATTTTCTGAATCTTGCTCATGAATAAATAGTCTTGTAAATAATTATGGATTTTTTCATCTGGTCAAAATTAAAAACTATGTAAATATATTTGAATTATTCTAAACATATTCTTTCATAAATGAATTCTATTTTTGGAATTTATTCCATTTCTGTGCTAGTACCATGTAGTTTTATGGCTATGACTCTCTAGTTTCTTTGAGATCAGGTGTTGTGTCATACAGCATAGTTCTTTTGCTTAGGATTGTTTTGAGTATCAGGGGCTCCTGTGCTTTCCTACGATTTTTATCAGGGCTCCTGTGCTTTCCTATGATTTTTAACATGTGCTGTCTAGGTCTCTTAAGAATATAATACCATGCGATATCTGAACATGAGTGCATGTGGACAGCTGAAGGCTATATAACAAGAAATGCAATGTCAGACAGGAGAAACCTTCCTTCCAGTTGTTGGTCAGGGTAATCCAAGAGACTCCCCAAATTACACAGCCTAGTGCCACAGCCCTTGATTACTTCACAGAACTTGAAACTTAGATCCTATTCTTAAAGACAGGACTTACTTCAGACACAGGACATTGTGCATTGTAGCTAGACCTGACTTGGAAAGCTTCTCTCTGAAGACTAGCCCTCATAGTTCTAGAGGATACTACACAAGCTACTAAGGGAGAAAATCAATCAATGGTCCACCTCAGCTGTAAAGTCTAATAACCAAAATAAATGGCACATCGAACTATATCTACTGGTGCATTAGTGGCACTTTTATCTAGGGGTTAAGGAAGAGCTATCAAATTGGAGTTAAAGCCCTCTCA